ACTGCGTTCCTCCCCTTGGGGCGGGGGGGTGTAAGGGGTGCGACTGCATTCCTCCCTTTGGGGCTTGGGATGTAAGGGATGTGACTGCATTCCTCCCTTTGGGGCTGGGGGTGTAAGGGATGCGTGCGGTGCCTGATGGCTGCTGGTGCGAACCGGAGCCACGGAGAGCGAAGCGACTCTTCAACTTTCTTGCCTCTGGGATGCTGAGCTTACTGGGAGGTGAGGAAACACGACCCTTTTTCTCTGGGGAAGTAAAAATCCAGCCTGGGTCGGGTCAGCACCCATCTTTTTTTGGCAGGAGGATAATGTGTCAGGGTCTGTTGCAAACCCCCTGTGATGAACGTGACCGGGAAGCCCGGCCCAAAGGGTTTGGGCAGGAACATCTGCCCCAGCTGGGCTACCTCTGCCTGTCAAGCTGCTGCCAAGAGAAGGGGATGGTTGCTTCCAGCCAGAAACCCTCCTCCTCCTCGGCCTGTGCACTAAAAGCTCAGTTTCTCGCGTTCTAGATGTTGGGGTAACTCGTCAAGTGCTTGGCACGTGCCGTTAGGACAGTTACTGGTTGCCCTCTCCTGGTTAGCCTCTCTCACTGCCCTGGCTACCCGCTGCTGTTTGAGGAGAGCTGGGTGCGAACCTGAGCGGAGCCAGGGCTGGAAACGCTTCGTGCGTCACCTCGTCGCCGAGGTTGGCTCTTCCCAGCTCCCGAGGTTGGCTCTTCCCCCGGCGGACTCTTCGTGCGTCACCTCGTCGCCGAGGTTGGCTCTTCCCAGCTCCCGAGGTTGGCTCTTCCCAGCTCCCGGCGGACTGACATGCATTGGGCGAGCCGGAGGGGTGCCCGTTCCCCTTTGCGACCCCCGCTCCCCATCTCTGCAGAACCCTGCTCTGGCATCTCCCCTACGAAACACGTCGAGCGTGAGCAAAGGCGTTTATTCCATCCCGTGGCGCCGGATGTCCGGAGGAGGGGATGCCGTGTCGGCTGCAGGCTCGCTGCACGGGCTCTTCCCTTCCTCGATTTCCTTCTCTTGACACAGCTCCTTCCAAAACAACAACGACAGGGTGAGTGGGACTGTCCGTGCACCTGCAGGAGAATTTACTGAAGAAAGGAGTGGTTTTCTTTTCCTTTTTATCAGGTCGTAACTCCGAGGGGGCCTAGAGGAGCTCCGCACTTCCCCCCACCCCGGTCACGGATGCCGCTTGCTGGGGTGCGGAGCTGCTGGTGGTGTCCTTTTCCAGGCCTGGGCTGTGAAGGGGAATCCAGCTTTTCTGGAACAAAGCTGTGCCCTGTGGGGGTCAGTAAGTGTACCCTGAAGGAAAGGGGGATTCCAGCTTTCTGAGAAATAAGGGAAAAGCTTGTGCAACCCCGGCAGTCGGAATGAGGTGGGTTAGGCTCTGCCCATGCCTCGGGCTGACGCAGGGGTATGTGAGTCTCTGTGCTGGTTGATGTCCAACTCTTTCGGCCTGACGATAAAGATTATAGAGTCGGAGAATCCTGGAACTCTTTGGGTTGGGAGGGACCTCAAAGCCCACCCAGTCCCACCCCCCTGCCATGGGCAGGGACACCTTCCACAGCCCAGGTTTCTCCAAGCCTCATCCAGCCTGGCCTTGGACACTCCCAGGGATGGGGCATCTATCAAATATCTATCAAATGGATCCCCAAAATATTTTCTGCGTGTGCTTAATTGGGTTCATTTTACTCCTCAGATGCGGCATCCTGCCTCTCAGCTGGGCACGAAACCCTTCCTGGCTAACAGCGATCACGCTGGGGCTCGTAAGGACAAAGGGTTCTGGCTGATTCCACTCGCCTTTTCTCTAAAAGGGATTTGTCTGCCCCAAATTTTAGTGTGATCCAGCTGGCACTTTGGGGAGCAGGACCCTGCCTCCTGGGTGCTGCCCGTTGCCTGATGGGGAGAGGAGACCTGGCCTGCCCCACCATGGGGGTTTCTGCCCATGTCCCCGTCCCGGGTCCCCTGAGCCTGTGGGTGACACTTCTATCTCTCACAGGGGGTGTCAGGGGCTACGTCGGGTCCAGTCCACCAGCTCGGAGCGAGGTCTTGGGCACCTCTGGAAGCTCAGTCTCCTGCCATGGATGAGCAGCCGGCCAGGACAGCAAGGGATGGGTCAGGAAAAGGTAAGATATTTTGTCACCCCCACACTGGGTCTGGTTTATGTTTTGATGGAAAAATGAAAGGAAAATGTCTGCTTTTGTGGGCATGGATGGTTTTACCTATTTCCTGATGTCCCATGGGGTTGGACCGCAGCCCAAAAGGACCCCATGTGCTGTACACCCCCACCCCGGGGCGGGAGGAGGACTGGCTTCAGCACCCTCCCGAGCTGTGAACCCGCTCATCATCGCAGCACCTTGGGGTGCCAGGAAAGCGACTCCCAACCTGACAACCACCCCAGGTTTTTAGGGGTTTGAATAGTTGTGGCTTTGGCTGAAGCGGGGCCGTGCAGCACCCCAGGGCACGGACACCCCCTGCCCCTTGCTGCAGCTCCTGGGGGCTCCTGGCAGGGCAAACCCAGGAATTTTGGGGCAAAAACATCCCAAACTCTAGCCAGCTCTCCCCTAGCAGGGGGAGGCAGGCAGTTACCAGTTTTGGTGCAGGTATTTGCTTTGGGGGGTCAAGTATCTGCTGGGGGGGATGTTATTTGTTATTTCAAACCACCGTCGCTGCCGAAGCAAACCTGTATTTACCTAGGACCCCAAATCACCCCCACCCCCTGGACAATCTGTCTCCGAGACCCCGCTTTGGTGGCTGGAGCTACAGCCCGGGGCGGGGGCTGCAGCGGCTCTGCCCACCCCCAAGCAGCCACGTACGGTTCTCCACGGCGCGTACACGATCTCCTCATCGCTCAGCCCCAGGCGCTTGGCGTGACCCTCGAACTCTTCCCGCAGGCTCGTGCTGGCGTTCAGGCTTCGGGCTGCAAAAGAAGCGTTTCCCAGGAGTCGGTTATGGAGCGGTGGCCTTGGCACGGCTCTTCCTGCCGTATCCCTGCCTCCCGCCAGCGCTTGCTGCGGGGGCGATGCCTGCTGGGGTCTCTCACCCCCGCGGTAAATAGACCGAAACAAAACCGGTGTTCGGTTTTGTTTTTGGAGGCAAGCACCGAAAAATCGCGTCTGGCTTGAAAATACCAAGATTTTAGGATGATATCGATGCTGAATTCCATTTGCTTCCTGTTCTTTGAATATTTATGGCGTAAGTGGGTTTTGTCTTTAACTTGGTCTTTCCGCTCTGCCAAGAGATTCAGGTTTTAATGGGATTTGTAAAAACTCCTGGAGCTGGCGGTCTTGGGGGGAAAAAAATCACTGACTTGGCAAAACCAAGCTGCTGCGTGGTGGTACTGGTAATTTATGGGCGCGTTTTGGTGTCCCATGATAGTTTTGAGGTACTTTAGGGTGGAGTTTGCGTACCGTAGAGATACAGCCCCAAATAGGTCCTCTCCCGCCGCAGTTGGTACTGGATGAGTAGAACGTCGTCAGAGCTGAGGTTCATCAGCGTCCCCACGGTTTGCTGGGTCTTGGCTTGGAGGGAACAGAATCCGGGTTGGGAAGAGCCACGATAAACCGCAGCCTGGGCGCGAGCAATGCCTGTAGCCTCTGGGGATCTGGGATTTGATGTGGTGTGAGCCGTTTGGCGCTGTGCGCGTTTGAATCGTGTTTCCTAAATGTGGGCCTGGGGGGGTGTGAAGGAGCCAAAGGCACCCAGCTCCAGCCAAAGGCACCCAGCCCCTGTCCTACCATCGCCATGTGCCGGGCCACGTGGCTCGCTGGTGCTTGGGGTACGAGCGGCTCTGCCTGGCCCCGTGTGCCTGACCCCACGGCTTGGGGGGGGCTGTAAAAATGGAGGAGAAACAGTCCCCTGCTTGCAGCAACGCTGACTTGGCCGGGTCAGTGCAAACCGTGTCTCAGGAGCGTTGCAATTCCCACCCCAAATGGCTCACCCCCCCCCTTTCCTCAGTCAGGAGGAAACGATTTCGGAACACCAGGCTTCATTAATCCGCTGAAACCTGCCACAGATGTTCCCCTCCTTTCCCCGAGGGATTGTGAAATAACTGTACGAAGGAGGCTTCTCCGTCCCCTGCTCCTCGCTCCTGGCGCGGTGTTGCTTCATGGGGTTGGGTGCGGTGTGACGGTGGGGCTGCCCTCCTGGGGTCTCCCGGGAGCAGGGACCGACCCAAGGGGCCCCTGGCACTTGGAACCCTTTGGGGCCCATGGGGCTTCCAACGGGCAAAGCGACCCGGGAATATGACGTAAAACACGGGCACGGGTCCTTGGCGTGTGTCAGCCTGTCCGAAAACTGGGCTGGGCGACGGCCCCTACGGCTGCGCCCGCGGGTGCTGCTCACCGTGCTTCACCAGCGTGGTGTTACTCCCGGCGACTTCCAAGTAGGTGGAGTTGTTGGTGAGACACTGGTCCCCCCTGGAGTGAGAGGGGAAGGCAGTGACGTGGGTAAGGGGAGCAGAACTCCCTCCACATTGCAGCC